GGGATGTTATCCTGAGGGCCCCAGCCACAGGTCAGACATTGTCCCTAAACTCCTTTCTACAGCCAGGGCTTTGCGGCGTGGTGCTTGGTGTGGTGCTTGGTGTTCCCGTTGGCACTTGACCCTCTGCCCACCCAGAGTGCCCCTGCTCCCCCTTCATACTGGGGAAGGACAGGGGACCATCTCCAGGGGACTCCCTCTACACACACCCCTCCTGTGGTCAGCAAAGCCCACCCACAGCTGGGTGGGTGGAGAAAAGATCCTGTTTGCTGATGGTAACAGTTAAACGGGGGTTCCAGGTAGATTACCAGTATCCAAAGGAACAATTAAACTGTGTTTCTGAAGACATTTCTCACTTGACGATTGGCAACATGGACCCAGATAGCTCCAGGCCGGTTCAGAGTCTAATAGTCCATTAAGAACTGTAGGAAATGGGCAGCACCTGTGGCTCAAAGGAGTAGGGCACTAGCCCCAGGGGCCAGAGGTGGCGGGTTCAAACCCAGCCCCGGCCAAAAACTGCAAAAAAAAAAAACTGTAGGAAAAGTAAAAATAAGCCCCAAAAATACAAATGGAGGGATTCTAGAGTATCTCCTTTAGTAAAGAAATAGGACAAGGGAAGTGTGGTTGAGGAAGCCTGATGGCTTACTGTTCCAAGATGAGAAGACAGAACGTTACCTAGTTTACTGAGCAGTCAGACACGGTGTAGTTGTCTTTATTGGTTTTGCTGCAAGTCAGGCTGACACTACAGGGAATATAAATAACAGAAACCCAGGCAGCCTGGGGCTCCCTCCCTGACAGAGCTGGCACTTGGTTTGAGCTGCTCAGCATGAGCGAACATGAACCTTCTCTTCTCTTCCCAGAATTCGAGGTGAACATTGTTGTGCTGCTGCAGGCGGATCACCTCATCACGGAGAACTTCCCACTGAAGCTCTGCAGGATATAGCCCAGGAAGGGCGCAGGGAGCACACGCCACCCTGTGGAAGTCCAGCAGGTTATCCCACTTCTGTAGGGAGCTAAAGCCAGCAGCATATGCCCATTTTCACGATTACTCTGCATCAGAAGTGACAGGGACTCCTGAAGTTTCCGTTTCTTCATTTCCTCAAGACTTCTGCTTCCACCAGGAGCCTCTAATCAGACAGTTTCTGTGAAATGTAACAGGATTTCTTAATGCTGTTGGCAGGATGATTATTACATTCAGTGGATCCTGACTTACCTGTTCTTCTAAAGCACAGTTGTAACAACAGTTTGGGCTTTCTTGGAAAAGGAAATCACAGGGACAACAGGAGCCTCTAACTCGCTGATGGAGTAGCCTGGAACGCCAGCTGCCCGTATTCGCTACTTAGGAAGTTGATAGACACCCTCCAAGGGTGGGTGCAGAGTTGTTTTGGTTTTCGTATTTTTCCCTCTACTCTAATCTGTAGTTCTTCTCATATTTTTCACCATAACTTCAATTTTTAGGGAGCTAGAAAAGAAGTATTGCTTGCTCTCATAGAACTGAAGGGATCTGGCTGGTGCAGGAATGTCTCCAGAACTGGCATAAAATCTCACGCTGCCATATTTCTTGATTGTAAATGGAGCTTATGTAAGGGGCACAAATGTACGTCTGTTGCTGTTGTTACTGGATGTGTCCTGAACCACTGGAGACCTGCCCCACGGTTTGTGGTGAAGGCCTCTCTCCAAAGAATAGTGCCAGGAAAACATCCTCAACTACATAAACATAGCCTGCGTCTGATCCTCCTGAAGGACCTATGTTTTGGGCCAGAATGTTTTTTTGGCCAAAAGCCAGTTTTTCCTCAGTCGCACTTTGTGGTTTGAAGAATATGGTGAGTCTGTTGCAATACATTTCTTCCTTCAAATCCTACTCGCAAGTGATGGAACCCATGCTGCTCTGCACACTAACTGGCCTTCGCTGTAGTCCTGGGCAAGGCAGGCTTCTGCTAAAGGCCTCCTGGGCTGTACTTCCCCACATTGTCCTGTAACAGTGGGGATTTGTACTGCGCAGGCAGTCAGTCCTTATTTACACACTGCTTTATCCAGGCCTTCACCGGTGAAATTACAAAAATTACTGAGTCATTTGAAAGTTGGTTCCCAGAAAATACATTTCTAGTTTATAAATCTCTTTTATTCACATGACATTAATAATTATGTCCTTAATGATGTGTTAAAACTGAGTAGCAGAAAATAAAGAGGCCATACTTTCTGGGAAATTAAAGAAGAAATCATTTTTAACAAAATAAAAATGTATATTGCCATATGATTTCTTTATTACATGGATTATATAAATAATGATGAATGCCATCCTGAGAGAGTAGTTACTACCTGAAGAGCTGCCAGCCTTCCTTACTACCTTCATCATTGCCTTCAGCCCTGAGTGGCCCGGATATCACCCCAAGCTGGCCATTTCTTTCTGCTTCTTGGCCTAACAACTCCTGATCAGTTATTAAAACTCAGATGTCTGGCTCTCTTGGATAGCAACAGTCCCGACACTGACCTGGCTGGAGTTGGAGGTATCCATTGTTTGAGGCTCGGCATTGTCAGATTCTCCAGTTAGAGCAAGACATGCGGAAAAGGAGGGGGAGGTGAAGGAAGGAGGCTTGAACGGTGGGTCTGAAATTACATGCTGTCTTGGAAATGTCTCTTTTGGCAGAAACACCTTTTGGATCTCAGCTATGAATGCTCCAGCAGAAATAGGGCCTGGCTCCCATTCTCAGCTGCGAAGGCTTCATCCATAATAGATTTCAGGAACCCACCCAGAAGTCTGCTGGTCCACTTCTGCCTGAGCTCACCATAATTCTGAATTACCTTTTTAGAAATTAGTGGGCTAAGATTTCCTCCACATGCTAATGGTCATTTGAGTGTTATACCTGGGTGCAGTTACACCAGGAAGATGGACTCTTCTTTATAGCGCTGTGTGGATGGGGCCCAGGTTATACATTCAGCCCTGCTCCTCCCTGGAGCTGATGACAGGGAACAAATCAACACTCCAGCCAGGCCTCATGCAGAGCC